TGAGCACTACACCAGCCAAGGTGAAAACTCCATGGGGTCAGCCGTCACCTGGCTGGCTATCTGTCTGGCAGGCTGTGCTGAGGTCTGGCTCACAAGCAGGAAGTGGCTGGGAAACAGTGCATCTAGTCACTGGAGCTCACAGCCCCGGCTTCCATTCAGACTCGGAGTGGGGGTGGGACTGCACGTTCTCTCTGGGGTCTGGTCCCTGCAGATGGCCTGTGTCCTCTTTCAACGTCAAATTCTCCTTTGGTGTCCACAACGTGGAGATCTGGACATTAACAGCTGTTCAGTTTTCACAAGACCCACAGAGAGGGAGGCCAAGGCACATCTGTCTTATTCTAGAATGACGGCTGTTTCAAAAGTCCACGTCTACTTGTGAGTGTGGGCATCAGGCAGGTCTCAGACTGGACAGTCCTTTGTCGGTGGTGTTCCTCAAGCTGTTTTTTTTTTTTGGTACCGGGGATCAAACTCACGTCCTTGTGCTTGCGCAGCAGGTGGCGAAACCACTGAGCTAAATCCCCGGCCCATGTTTTTTTTTGTTGTTTTTGAGAACCCAGGGCCTCCTCGCACCAGACAAGCCTCCTTTTCGTCAGTACTGGGGATGGAACTCAGGACCTTGGGCTTCCAAGGCAGGCGGCGGCACCACTGAGCTAAATCCCCAGCCCAGACAAGCACTTTAATGTTGAGCTACTCCTCCAGCCCAGAGCATTGACAAGTCTTTTCCTCTCCCTTCTGGCTGCTTTGGCAGTGGAGGTAGAGGCATGAGCTGATGGGAGTGGGGTGATTTTCTGGCCCAGCAGCTGCCGTAGAGCAGGCTGGGAGAGGGAAGTGCATGTAGTGTGCACCTACTTGAGGGGCCATGGCTCTGCACCCCGGTGACCTTTCAGGCTCTTTGGCCAGGACCCCTCCTCTTCTGTGTTAAGAGAAGAGCTCTTCACGGATCCTGCGTGTGTCCTCGGGCTCTGTCACAATGTAGCCCACAGTTCGAGGGTCTGTGAAGATCTCGTAGTCATTGCCACCCTGCTTGCTGCCCTCCCACATGGGAGCCAGGGGACATCTCTGAGCTGGCTTGAGACCCTCTAATCTGGTTCAACCTCCAGCCAGTCCAAGAAGCAGACAGGAACAGCAGTTTGCCCGGTGGGTCCCCCTAGGAGTGAGGGAGGGGCTTGCCTCGGCAAGCTGATCTGCACCTGCCACCAGCCACAGAAGGAGATCTGGGGCTCAGGGTTCTGCCACACAGACAAATGCATGGCAGTAAGACAGGCAGGTCCAGAGGGCTTGTTCTGTGCACACTTGGGCTCTCCCGAGGCTGGAGAGAGCTACAGATGACAGGCATGGTGACTCAGTCCAGGATGGCAAAGACCAGCTCCTGAGGACAGGAGGGCAGTGCGCACTAATTATTATCTTGACTGTGTAAGAAGATGCCTCCTGGCAGGGGCACCCATTTCCAGAGACCCTGGTCAGGCCCCAGCCTCTCGGCAGTGGTGAGCCTTTTGGCAACTTTCTGGCATAGTTTTGTCTCCGAAGAAGTAAATGGTCTTATAACCATCAGTTTCCACATGTCTCAGGCAATACCTGTTGTCCCATCTATCAGGAAAGACATCAAAGCTGATTTGGCCTCCTATGGAAAATGTGAGGCCTCTTCCTGCAAACTCTTTCTGCAGACCTGCTACACATTTTTGTCTTATATTTTCTTTTTTATCGAGTTCATAGAACTCAATACGTTCTTCTTGGCTGCAGCTTCTTCCAATAGGGGACACATTCAACATCCCATTCTGGAATTCAATGAGCGTGCCTCTTTTCTTTGGGAGTTTAATTTTTGCAATGTAGCTTAGACAGTAGTTGATTAAATCTTGAATTAGGGCCTCACCCAGGTGACCTTGAATATTCTGTTTACGTAAGAGTTTCCCATCTTTGTATGCTACCAAGTCATTTTCTGGAAACACATAATCATATTTCTCCACCATGAGTCATAATCTCCAGGGAAAAAGCCAGTAAGACTCCAGTTTCTGGGGTCCTACACTGGAGATTCTGGTTTGGGGAAGGATGGGGCCCGGTGAGTCTCTTGCAGGAACTCTGGGAAACATGTCATTTCCCAGTTGTTCCTGTACTTTCTCAAAGTCCGACCTGCCTACCACTCCAATTTTGGTTTTCTGCTTCAATCTTTGTAGGAAGTCATCCATTTCTTTGGTAATTTTCTCCCGCGGGGCTGTCAGAGTCCCATCCACCTCGAAGAGGCACAGCGCTGGGAGGGTCATCACCATCCTTCAGGTTTCTGTGCACACCTGACTGGACTCGTTGGCAGCAGGAACTCAGCCCAGAACTTCCAGGTCAGGAACTTTTTTTTAAAGCTGAACTCTTATGACTTTTCATGAGTTAAAATTGTTCTGATTTCAGCAAGTCAAATCTTGTAAAGGCCTGCATATGTTTTTTAAGATTATATGAAGTCTGTGCAAAAGCTTCTCCTCCTTCCTCAGGTTTCAAACGTCACCTCTTCCTATTACCAAAGTCACACTGTCCTATGACCTGTTCCATTTTCTTCTTATCGTATATCGCCATTTGAAATCTTATCTACTTAATAGATTGTTTTCATTATTGTCTTTTGCCTCTCTATCCTGGGAATACAAAGTTTTGGGAGCACTAATCTCGGTCAGGTGTGTTCAAAGCCATGGTCACATCCAGAAGATGTTCATTGTCTGTTAACTAAATGAATGAACAATAAGTTTGTTATAGGATTAAGAAGAGTACTGAGTATAACGGGTCCAGGTTGTCATGCCTATAATCTCAGCTACTTGGGAGGCTGAGGCAAAAGGATCGCAAGTTTGAGCCCCTGTCTCAAATTAAATAAATAAATAAATAAACAATTAAATAGGTCTGGGTATGTAGCTCACTGCAAAGGCCTTAAGTTCAATCCTCAGTACCCTCATTCAAAAAAAACCCACAGGAGAGTCGACTATATAAAGTCACCCAGAGAAGTAAGTTGATTAAAAGTCTCTGCCATTTTGAGATGTCTCTATCTCCACACATGGTTTCCAATGACATTAACTCAGAAGAAAGAGAATAAAGTATTTAATATCTTTTTAAAACCCTGGGCCGGCACGAACGCGAGTAAATAAACAGGAAATGGAATCGGTATCTTGAGGCTCTTGGTGTTTGAAAAAGGCCTAGGGCTTCTGAGACTGTTCCTGCGGAGTGTTCTCTTCAAACTCATGTTTGTTTTGTCAGAACCATGGCCGAATACTCCTACGTAAAGTCCACCAAACTCGTGCTCAAGGGGACAAAAGCCAAAAGTAAGAAGAAAAAGAAAGAAAAGAAGAGAAAAAGAGAAGAGGATGAAGAAACTCAACTTGATATTGTTGGAATGTGGTGGACAGTGGCCAACTTTGGTGACATTTCAGGAACTATAGCCATTGAAATGGATAAAAGAACCTATATCCATGCACTTGACAACGGTCTTTTTACACTGGGAGCACCACATAAAGAAGTTGATGAAGGTCCTAGTCCTCCAGAGCAGTTTACTGCTGTCAAACTGTCTGATTCCAGAATTGCCCTGAAATTTGGCTATGGAAAATATCTTGGTATCAATTCAGATGGACTTGTTGGGCATTCGGATGCCATTGGACCAAGAGAACAGTGGGAACCAGTGTTTCAAGATGGGAAAATGGCTTCACTGGCCTCAAATAGTTGCTTTATTAGATGCAATGAATCAGGTGATACAGAAGCAAAAAGTAAAACAGCAGGAGAAGAAGAAATGATAAAGATTAGATCCTGTGCTGAAAGGGAAACCAAGAAAAAAGATGACATTCCAGCAGAAGACAAAGGAAATGTAAAACAGTGTGAAATCAACTACGTAAAAAAATTTCAGAGCTTCCGAGACCATAAACTTAAAATCAGTAAAGAAGACAGTAAAATTCTTAAAAAGGCTCAGAAAGATGAATTTTTGCATGAGACTCTTCTGGACAGGAGAGCCAAATTGAAAGCTGATAGATACTGCAATGATCAGGACTTTTTTTTGTTTCTGCCTACTCCTTTTGTTTTCTATGAATAAAATATGCAGTGATAAAAACCCTGTGCTTTCCACCTGGAGTTCATTGCCCCGAACTGGAGTTCAGTGACCTGGGGTCAGAACAGGAGAGTCTGGGCATGAAGGAGGAGCATGAGTGGACTCTTCAGAGCGTTCTACTGTCCACCATTTGTTACAAGTAAGGGAACTGAGGCACAGAGGGATAAGAAACCTGCTCAGTGTCTCAGAGGTCGTAAGTGGTAAAAGCCAGACTCAAACCCAGGCTGCTTGGCCCCAAGGAACTGTCCCCTTTGCCATATGCAAGTGTTAGAGTTCCGCTGGGGACACCCACTGAGATGTAAAATGCACATTCTGGGCTCTTTCTCCTGCCTGCATTCTCTCCTCAAAAGTGACCACTTTTCTGCTTCAGCAATAGAATTTTTGTACTTTGATTCTTTGAGAGTTTACTGTGTAACTTACTGTGATCATTCACCTTGCCCACCCCTCCTCACTGACTTTTCTCTAAAAGAAAAGCCCAGATGAAAGTTTCACCCCAAATGAATCAGCCAGGAAGCACAAAACCCACTTCTCAGAATCCAGGCTTGCTCCTCAAACTTACCTCCAGCAATCTTTGTGGAGACTTTGAGCAGAGGTAGCTTTCTGCCAGGTTGAAAAGGAATTAGGCTGCTAAGTGTGTTGGGAAAGCTGGGCCAGAATCCTGGGGGTGCCCCATTCTCCAATAAACCCCTAAATGGCTCCAGCAGAAGACTAGTAGTATAGGCTACTTGCTGTGACAACCTAAATTAACAACACAACATCAATAGCAAACCTGGGTCCAAATGCAGGGGCCAAGGACTTTATAGACTTTGTGATGTATAATCCTCTCCATGGAGAAGGACTGAAGGTATTCATTGGCTAAATACCTGAGTCAGCCCAGAAAAACTGGAGGTGACTTCATATAAATTGTTTCTCTGATTATCGCTGGAGGCCCTGTGATTGCTTTCTACCCTATTTTACTAAGCATCTCCTCCCCTTTCTGAATCATCCAATTCCAGACAAGTTCTGTGCTCAAGGTTCAGCCAGGAGCCACATTCTTCTTGGTGCACATGTACACTTGGGAAGGGGCTTGGGCACAGAGAACAGAACCTACAACACCTTCCGGGACACAGGTCCCTGCATCCTGAACAGCATCAGGTAAGACAGAGGCAAATGGCAGCACCTTCTTTGGGGGGGGGGGGGGCGGAGGGAGCAAGCACTCATGCACACATCACAGAAGCCCTAAATTTAAAAGTCCAATGTCAAATTGTCAAGGTCTGGCAATTCCACTTACATGGTGACTATGGCCAAGTCACTTAGCATTTCTGACCCTTCATTTCCTTAACTGCAAAATGGAGATGGTGACAGTGGGTAAGAGGAGTACAGGGGAATGTGTATGTTTCTTCCAGGCTCCTAGAGGTGACCGGCTTACTGTCAGGCAACTCAGTGTAGGAAGAGGGCGTAGAGCCAGGAGGGGAATGATTGATAGAAAGCTTCACCATGCAGAAGTTGGTTCACTTTCTGTAAAGTGGATGCCTTTCATAAAATCTTGAAAAACAGCCTACTGAGGAGGGAGGTGGCTTCACAATTGTAGGGAACTGAAGGGTGCCTCAACTTGTACTGATCCCTTACTGTGTACCAGGCTGCATGCTGGCAATGTGATTTATGCAGATTGTCTCAATAATCCTTACAGGAAGTTTGGAAGTAGGTCATTAATGTACCCTCAAGACTAAAGACATGGACAGTATCCAAAATCACCAAACCAAAAGTTAAACCCTCAGTCTATCCCCTATAACTCACTAAGTATGTCACCTCATTCATAGCTTCTTGAGTCCAAAAGCTTATGATGTCCATTGGGTTGCAGAAAATGTTCAAGATACTGTGTACCTGAGCAGAGAACCCTGAGCCAAGCCACCTCCCAAAGTCATGCTGCCATGCTGATTTCTGAAAGCACTTTAAAATATTTCAAAAGATTGCTCTTTAAAACTAGATCATAGGACACACTTAGGCCATGCATTCCAAGAGTCTGATTAATTTCAGTCTGATTAATCCCTGATAGTGTCTAAAATCATAGATGGCATACTATAATAAACATCTTCTAGAAATAAGCAATATATTTTTCTACAGTTCAGACATTGTGTGGGCACACTGGTTTTTCTCACCCTGCTTACTGAATTATGACAAAAAGGAAAGAGTCTAACAACTTATTGAGTGCTTACTATATATCAAACACTGTGAGGAATAGACAGATGTAGACTTAGTATAGATGTGGTTGTTGATCTATAGAAATCAATAGGATTATAGGTATATGGTGATATATAGATATATAGTGATGTATAAGTAGAATTACAGATATTGATATGATTATAGATATAGCTAAAGATAAATATACATATAAAGATAGACATAATTCATGTGATCAAAAATGTGGTGAATGTTTACTTTTTTTTTTTTTTTTAATTTCTTACTGTAAAAAATACATTTTCAAATACTCCCCCTCACCTTGAACACACTTATTCTATCATTCTTGCTACTTTCTGGACCAATTATGGAAGGCCTCTTTCATGAGTGCCATTAGTTGGGCTGTCATGGCTCCTTCCAAGTTCCTAATGGATTCAAAATATTTACTTCTCATGGTCAGTTTGACTTGGAGGAAGAAACAGAAGTTATACAGTGCCACATCCAGTGAATCAGGTGGATGAGGACACGCTGTAGTGCTTTTACAAGCTTGCCTTTCCACAGGACTGCACTCAACAGCAACATTCACTATAATTTGGACCACACCTTATAAAGACACTTGAAAATACTTCCAGAAATGCTTCAGAAAGTGGCAAGAAAAGTGGAATAAGTTTATTTGAATTGAGAGAGAGTACGTTGAGCGGGATTAATGTCAATATGTCTTTTACTGTAGTAGTTTTTTCATTTAAACATTCACCGTTTTTGATCGCCCCTTGTATAGGTATCTCTGACTTTTAGTCTTCTGAACCTTGTGAGATCCAGTTTCTAAGTACCTGCACGTAAGGGTAAATCTGGACCCTGCAGTGTGCATTTAGGAATCTGTCCCCGCTTCCTCTCTTAGACCCTATACCAGAGGTTGAGAAGTCGTTTCTTAACACAGAAGGTGTTAACAATTAATTACTCATTTTCCTACAGTAATTACCTGTGCTGCACTGGTGCTAAATGTGACATGCAGTACGCTGATCTTTCATCACCTCAGCCTTAGGTGTTGCTGATTTTCTGTTTTTAGAGAGAGTTTAAGTAAATTGCCCAAAATGATAAGGGGCTGGGGGGCGAGAGAGTCTGAACCTGTACCTTTTGGTTCCCGAGGTCACACTCTCCCCTACCACATCATCTCAGATGATGAAGATTAAATTAGAACTGCAAACATTTATAAGATGATGCCAAAGTCAATTCTTCCTTATTTATTTTCCACTATCAAATATCAAGAACTATTTGTATTAGTTCACTAGAACAACCATGGCAAATTACCACAAACCGAGTGACTTAGCAGAAATGTATTTTCTCGGAGTTCTGAAGGCAAGAGGCCCAAGAGCAAAGTGATAATTTGGAAGCCTTTCTTCCCGACTTGTAGATGGCTGTCTTCAAGTTCCCATGGCATTTGCCTTCCATGTGTACCTGTGTTCCTAATATCTTGGAGACCAGTCACATTGTCTTAGGGCCAGGCCTAATGATCTCATTTTTAACGTAATTACCTTCTTTAAACATAGTCACATTCTGAATTTTAGGGGGTTAAGACTCCAACAGATACATTTTGGGGGACACAGTCTAGCCCATAAGAAAAGGTTAACAAATTTTGTCATTATGTCTCTCCCTTTTGTTTTGGTTTTTAGCCATTTTTTTAAGGGCCATTTGCCCTGCCTTTGGCGGAAAGTGAGTTTAAAAACATCTGTGTGGAAAGACAGTAACTAAGTCTGGAGTTGACCTCCTAAATCAGCTCACACCTGTGGAAGGAGGCATGCTTTGGTAAAACTAGCAGACGGGGTAATCTTACAACTTTGGGGAAACCCCTGTCCCTCATGAGATACCCGCCTACATCAGGAATTTTAAGCTCTTGTGTCAATAGGGGCTGGGCAGCTACATTAAGTGGAAAGGCAGGCAGATTTGAGAAAAATAGGGAGTCAGGTCACCTTGGAGAAAATACCATTTAATTGAAGCGGACGATTCTCAGCTTCACCAAGTCTGTGTTGGGTTGTAAAAAAAGGCCCAGCATCGCTGACCATTACTAGTTTTACTCACCTAGTCTATTAATCTGTTGTCAAAAAGTAGCATATTATTGCTGAAATGTAGGGGGCTACTTAATTGCACATGGTAACAAAGGGCTTGCATCTCAAATCTGTTTGCCAAGTGGCTGCCTTCTGCCAACATCTTCATGGATAGATCACAATATCACCTTGTACCCCATAAGTGTAGAAAATTATTACTGGTCAATTAAAAATAAAATAAAATTTAAAGTGACAATTAACAAGCATGTGTTCTGTGAAGAACCTATGCTCTTACATCCTGCCATGTACTCACTTCTACAATGAAATTAGAACATTGTAGATCTCAAGAAGCTCACAATCTAGTTATTGGCATCAGTTAAAATATCTCAATCCAAGCTCTAGAATCTAAAGGTAACTTCCAAACACTGAATCTTCCAAATACAGGTTTTCCTAGAAGCTTAAAGCAAGAACAACAAACACATTTTTATGAAAAGTAGGTAGGTTGTCGTTTAAGTCAATTTCACAATCAAAATTCAAGAAGGGCCCTAATAAATGAGAGTTCTGTTCCCCTGTTGGAAACATTTTTTCAGGCTCTGGAAGGGCAAAGAGGTTTCATCCCATGTGTTCACTCTTTCTGAGGGTTGGGAATCACTCCCCAAGACACCATCCTAGGGAAAATCTGGAAACTACACCCCAGTCCAGTAAAGAAGGTGCTGGTGTACTAGCAGTTTCTGCCCTGAGGCTAGTGGTGTATGATTGTGAGAATCTATACAGTCCCAAGTGGCAAAAGTTCAAACTCAGGCAGAGAAGAAATTGTTGGTTCTCAGAGTCCATGGAAGAATGTTAACGAGAGAGGGTCAGAGAGGTCTCGGAACCAACATAAACCAGTGACTCCAGTGTCTTCAGGGTTATGGCTACCTTTCTCCCCCATGTCTCTGCGCACCAGCTTTCTTCCCACAGGATAGGAATCGTAGCCAGACAGTTCCACTACAGTGCGCATTGTGTGGCTTCCTCTAGAAAGAAACAGACTTACCTACTCTTTGGCACCAATTACACACAAAATCAATTTGAAGAATTATGATTGTCCAGGCTTAGGTTTAAAAAAATCATAGAATTACTCAACCCTAGGCCTATCAACTTGAGCCAGAGAATGTCATACAGACAGCTTCTGTGAGAACTACGAGACTGGGCTTGGTGGGAAAAGAGGTCTTCAGTGTAAGAAGAGCTGGGGCATAGAGTCTGCAAAATAGTCAGTTTCTACTCCAGAAGAGATCGCCATGTGGCTGCCACCCAGGCTTAAATCTGAAAAGATCCCAAGAATGCATACCACCCATGTAGTAGCTACAGCTCCTCCCTGGCATTTTGTGCCTGTGGTTCCTCAGTTGGGAAGCTAAGTGTCCATCTAAGCTACGTCTTCCAGACTATGGTAAACTGAAACCAAGCTATGACTTTGGCAATGATCCAAGAACATGCATCACTATTTGGAAAAACTTCCTGCAGCACAGGCAAACTGTAAGCCATCTCTCCCCAAGACAGGTGCGGACCTGAGAGTTTGAAGTCCAGTTGCTGAGAACTCTTCCCACTATGCAGTGGCTTATGAGGTCCCGGGTCCTCTGGGGCATCCACAAATCTCTCCATGCCTTCCATCCTGCCCCTCCACCCTTGCGTTGCCAGTCTTTATCAGGAGTTGGGGCTCCAAGATGGAATGACCAGGATATACCAAAGGAATTTAACTTTGCAAGTTACGTAGTGGACTACTGGGTTCAAATGGAGAAGGTGAGAGGGCACTGTGGTGGGAGGTGGGAACAGGGTGACCTTATCTTGTTCTTACTAGCCTGAGAGGCCCAACATCAAGGGCAGCTTCTGCCTCAACATGGCAGTGTAGTGGGAGAAGGTTATACGAGGCATAATTAAAACATACAGTGAATGTCTAATTTTTTTAAGTTATCACAGTAAAAGATACATTGCTATAGGTCCACCTCAGAACATTCCCCCTCACTTTGAACACATTTATTCCATTGTTCTTGCCACTTTCTTTGTTGTTGTTTAGTTTTGGAGTTTTGTTGCTGTTGCTTTGTGGAGTTGTTTTGTTTTGTTTTTTGAGACAGTTTCCTTCAACTCACTCTGTAGCCCAGGCTGGTCCTGTGCTAATAGCAATCCTCCTGCCTCAGCCTCCAATGTGCTGGGATTGCAGGAGTGCACCACCACGCCTGACTGTTCTTGCCACTTGCTGAATCAGTCCTGAAAGTCCTCTTTCATGAATGTCTTTAGTTGCACTGCCCTGGCTGCCTCAAAGTCCTGAATGCATTCAAAATGTTGACCTGTTATGCTCATTTTGACTTTGGGAAAGAGTCAGAAGCTGCATGCTGCCAGATCCAGTGAATAAAGTAGATAAGGACACAGTGTTTTTATTTGACAGAAATTTCTGTAAACCATTAATCAACAGCAGATGATCAAAACATAAGAGGAGGGTCAGGGACTTAGATCAGTGGTTCTGGCACCTGCCTCGAAAGCACAAGGTCCCAAGTTTGATCCCTAGTACAAAAGAAAAAAAAAAGCCATCTATGAAAAACCAACAGCCAATATCATACTAAATGGTCAAAAACTGAAATCCTTCACACTAAAAAAAAAAAAAAGAGTGCTCACTTCGGCAGCACATATACTAAAATTGTAACGATACAGAGAAGATTAGCATGGCCCCTGCACAAGGATGACAGGCAAATTCATGAAGCATTCCATATTTTAAAAAAAAAATAAGATGAATGTTTAAGTTTTTAAACTTTATTACAGTAAAAGACACATGGCCAGGCTGGGGATTTAGCTCAGTGGTGCTGCCACCTGCCTTGCAAGTGGAAGGTCCCGACTTCAATCCCTGGTACCAAAAAAAAAAAAAAAAAGGACACATTGCCATTAATCCCCTGAAAGTACTCAAAATATTTTTCTTCACTTCAGACACCTAGATCCCATCATCCTTGGTAATGTGTCTTATAGTATAATAACTTTTTTAAAATTTAAACATTCACTGTATTTTTCTATCAGCCTTGTACTTCAGAGTTCATTTCCCAGCCTAGCTACTTCTTCACGTCTCTGGGCATCAGTGCTTTCATCTGTGGAATGGGATAGACTCATTTGTTTTTTAAATTACTGAAATGACATATGCGGTATGCAATCAGTGCTCCATAATTGTGACTGAATGCCAACTTTTAATCCCGAAGTCAGCAAGTTCATGTTAGCCTGAATTTACACCTTCAGTGAAAGGGACAGTGAATCTAACAGGAATTTACTCATCAAATGGCTTAACTGTTGCACCCACCCCGCGAAGGGAACAGACTTTCTGCAGGGCATCTGACACACTGGTCACCGAGCGACTGACCTCACCCAGCACCCTCTCTTTGCATTCAGAGAGGATTCACCTGAGATGGAGTTGGAGACTTGGTACAGTTTTGAAGATTCCCACAAATACACCTTCTATGCTATCTTCCTGCCCACTTTTTCCTTCTTCTGAATTTTCATAATAACCCCAAGAAAAGTGAAGCCGTCCCTTATGGAAGAAATTTTTATGTGTCATGTCAATCACTTAGCATTTAATCTCTGGTTAGGTGGGCACTGTTTCTGTCCCCATTTTCCACTCGAATAAACTGAGGTGAGCGGGGTTAAGGAACCTGCTGAAATCACCTCGATCACAAGTGGAGGAGCGGGATTTGGATCCAGGCTAATTGAGTCAGAGTCTGTTATTTAACTTAGTCCACAATTTGATGAGGCTAAAACATCTGTGCATTAAAAGCACAAAGTGACTTTCTTCATTGCCCAGACTAGAAATCCTGTCAAGAACTTGAGATGTGAGATGGGGTGGAGAAAAAAGAAGCAGAGAAAAGGAGGTGATGGTATTGCCTTTTCCCGGGTTGTCTCCGTAAGTTCTGGTTAGCTAGGTCAAGCACCGGTTCACAGACCTAACTCCGAAGTAAATATTCCCCCACGGGGGTCAGTTTTGTTAGCACTGCCTTTCATTGTCAGTTTCCCGGTATCTCCCAATCTCCCCACTCCTGGCACCCATAACTAATTAGTATTGATTCTGGCAATATTTCTCATCTGTATTTCTGCTTTTCCAATTTCCTTGACCAAGATCAGTTAACAAGCACCACGCTAGCATTCATCCCTGAGCCCATCCACAGCACTGCCCAAACGATTACAGACTGAGGACACCTATTTTGACTGATTTCTTTTACATATTTAACCTGTAAAGTATAAGGCAGAAATCTAACATTTATGTGAAATATAATTTATCTTAGTCTTGGCAAAAAAATGTATTAGAAAACAAATGACAAGAAGTCACTGGAGCCTACAGGCTTGCCGATTTATAACCCCTGGTTGATCTTGGGAATTAAATCCTGTAGTACTGTGCTATGAGCTCCTAGGGTATCTCACTCAACTTCAATTGATTCCTGGAACAGCCTCACATTTATTCACAAGAGGTCATTTCATATCAGCATTTATTCATTCTGTGTCTTATACACTTCATTCATTCAACTAAAACTTCATGAGTACTTGGTATCTGCGAATCACTATTCTAAATCACGGTGATAGAAAAGTAAGCAAGACAGACAACTCACTTCTTGCCATTTGCTGTTTTCTTGATGTTTTGCTGCTTTTTTTTGTTCCTCATTTCTTGTCTTACTGCCTTCTTTTGTGTTCAGTTGATTTTTTGTAGTGTTATATTTTGGTCTCATTTCCTTTTGTGTGTATTTTACACACAAAGATATTTTGTGTTACCATGTAGATTATATCTAACATCCTGTAGCTATAACAACCTACTTTTAAGTGATAATGACTTAACTTCACATGCATATGAAACTCTCTTCCTTCTTACATCTCTGTCCCACCTAATAGCCACTTCATGTTATTGATGTCACGAATTATGTATTTTAGTATTGTGCACCCATTAACCTAAATTTATAATTACTTTTATGCTTCTGCTTTTAAATATTATAAAAGAATAGCAAGCAGAGTTGCCAAATGAAATTATAATAATACTACTTTTCATATTTGTACATATAATTACCTTTATATGAGAACTTTTCATTTTCATATTTGAGTTACTTTTAATCCCTTTAGTTCAACTTGAATACTCCCTGTGATCTTTCTTATGGGCCAAGTCTAGGGACAATGAACACCCACAAGTTTTCTTTAATCTGTGAATACCCTAATTTCTCCCTCAGATTTGAAGACAATTTTGAGTACAAATTTTTGGATTGACAGTTTTTGATGTCCTTCTTTTAGCACTTTAAATATATTACCCAGTTACCGAGGGGAGGTGGCGTCTCCCAGGAGAGGCCTTAGGGACTCGGACTGACAGGGATGGGACCTGAGGAAGGACGGGTCAAGTGGGGTCCTGTGACCCGGGTGAAGGAAGAAGGCGGGGCCGTGGGACGCTGGGGCTCAGGGCGCGTCCCTGGGCTGTGATCCTGAGCCAGGAGAGTGCGGATCGGCCCCCCGCGCCCCACCCCTGCCCTGCTGAAAACCCGGCGGGCGGCCAAGGAGCAAGTGTCCCCGGGGGACGACACAGGACCCCAAGGGGGCTTCCCCCTCGTCCCAGAAAGAGATCCCGAAAAACGCGAGAAGACACAAAGGGACGCTGGGCTTCCCCGCAACAGCCACGTGAGTCCAAAGCTGGCGATGCCTGGGTGGCCCGAGGGAGGAGCGGGGGACGCGGGGACTCGGGGGGGGGGGGGCGGCAGCCTCGATGATCTCCTAGTACTGTGGCCCTCAGTTGGGGCGGCTCTGATGGGAGCTGTGAGTCCTACCCGCACCCCTCCAGCTTTGGTTGGGGGGTTGTCACGACTGAGGGGTAGTAACTGCCCTCTAGCGGCCTGATGCGAGGGTCCCGCGAAACACTATGGCCCCCCACGGAAAGGAATCCCCTGGACCAAACTGGCAGTTGGCTGAGACCCGAAGCCCTGTCCTCAAGTGAGGGCCGAGCCTGGCCCCGAGCTGCGAGGACAGTTCGGTGGCCACCAACTGGGCCCCAGCCCCTCTGCCGAGGAGCAGACAACTTGCCGTGGGACCTGCCGCGCTCCGGAGAGGACTGCGGCTTCCCTCTGCCTCTGCTCTCCTCTTGTTCCCAACCACGCGTGCCCAGGATGATAGCTCTAAGGGTCGTTGCCCCTGGTCGTTGCCCCTTAGCTCCCAGAGCTAAGGAGAGCTGAAGGCAGGGTTCAGGCAGAAGGACTGTGTCGGTTCAGCCCATTTTCCAGGGTGCCTCTCCCACAACCAACTGATGATGTTCCCTTCTCACTGGCTCAGTCCTTCCTCTTCCGAGTGCCATCTCCTGCCTGGCCCAAGCGTGTCCGCGGAAGGGCTGCTGTCGTCCAACCCTCTGAAGAACTATGCCGAGGACACCAGCTGAGGACTCCTGGTCGTCTCAGTCCTGGCTTCCTGCAGCTCCCCTGCCAGTCCTTGATTCTTGGCTCCCCACCAACTCTGAACCGGATTTGACATTGGCCCCAGATCCACATAGAGGAAAATGAATGTCATAGTTTCAAATCTTAATAACTTATCTTCCCTTCCAGAAGCCCAATAAATACCCTGCTATCTAAATATTAAAAATATATATATATATATATATATATATATATTGTCCCATTGCCTTCTGATTTGTAAGGTTTCTGATGGGAAATTCTCTGACAATCTTCTTGAGGGTCTCTTATCTACAATGAATTGCTTTTCTTTTGTGCTTTCAAGATTATCTCTGTCTTTGGTTTTCACATTTTGATTATAATGTGCCTTCATCCAAGTCTCTTTGGGATTGGTCTACTTAAAGTTGATGAGCGTCTTGTATTTGTATACCCATATCTTTCCTCAAGTTTGAGAAGTCTGGGGCCATTATTTCTCTCTCTGTTACCTCCTTCTAGGACTCCCAAAGTATGGATATTGATCTGCTTGATAGTGTACCATAAGTCCCTTAAGCTCTGTTCATTTTTCTTCACTTTTTCTTCATTTTGCTCCTCAGATTCAATAATTTCAATTATTTGTCTTCAACTTTACTCATTCTTTCTTCCAGCTGTTTGAATAGAGCATTGAGTAAATGTTCAATTCTGTAATTTTGGCTCCAGAATTTTATTTAGTTTTTTTCTCATATAATTTCTATCCCTTTGTCCCTGTTATCATTTTGCTTATATACAGTTCTCCTGGTTTTCTATAGGTCTTTGTGGTTCTCTTTAGTTCCTTGAGCATACTTCAGACCAGTGCTTTAGAATCTTTGTCTAATAAATTAAGCTTTGATTTCTTTAGGGCCAGTTTCTGGAGACTCCTTCTGTTTCCTGCAATAGACTATGTTTCCCAGTTCCTTTGTATACCTTGTGATACCTGGATGGAAGCTGAGCATTTGAAACAGCCACATATCTCCGTTTTGTAGTCTGGGTCCACGCAGAGGTAGACCTTCAAAGGGTCAAAGTCACCCCAGGTCTTTTGTAGCATTTGCCTTCCCTAGGCCTGTTTGTGTGCCCCTCCTCCCTGGTCACTGTCCCATTTATGTGCCAGCTTTGAAATGCCTTAATTTCCCTAAAACCCTCATCTTTGCTTTTTCTCAGGGTCTCAGTGTTATACTGTGTCCTCTGCCATAGTCTCTTGGACCTAGGTCCTCACGAGTCGACAGTTCTTACCCACCATGGCGCCTGCTATTGCTCTCAGAGGTCTCCAACCTGATTTGCAAACTCCCCTGCTACCCTCATCTGACCTCCAAGTCAGGCAAGACAGAAACCACTTCTTCAGGCAGCCCCTGGACAAACTAGCACATTGCAAACAAGTCCCACTTTCTCGCTTCCATCCCAAGAGAGGAGTTGGGAATTGGATGGCCTCCCCTTGACTGCCCAAGGAGCAGGGAGGGCCAAGAAAGAGCAAGCAAAAACACTATAAATTTCCTGCATTTTGATTATGACTTTTTCTCGTTGTGGACATTTGTTTAAGTGTTGCAGATCCTTGACTGGTTTCTGAATCTCCTACAAAGCTATTTTGATCACTCTGTTCCTAACAATGTTTCTATGAGGAAACAAGGGCCTGCAGCTTCCTACTGTACTATCTTACTGTCCTAACCTCTACAAGTATCTTGATTTTTTTAAATTCCCAAAATATTTAGCAATTAAGTTAGCCTCTCTTAGAAGAATCAAGATATATTATGGACAGGTGCAAATTCCTTATGATGAAAGTGATCATTATGTATATCTAAAATGTACCAATAACATTAATTTTTTAAAAACAAAAAATAATTTTTAGTTAGCCTCTTTTAGTTTATTTTGTTGTAATAATAATTATTATTGTGTAATATATAATATTTATTATTAATAATATATTATCAAATAATTTATTGTTGATAATATTGTATAATTTATTATTATTATTATTATTATTATTATTATGGAGCACCTACTTTGTGCCAGACATTGTTACATGTGTTTTACTCAAGAAGTAATTCATTTAAATTCTACAACTTTCTTGGCAATAGTGTTGTCCTCCTTGGGCCGGGGATTTAGCTCAGTGGTGCTGCCGCCTGCCTCAAAAGCACAAGGTCAAGAGTTCAACCCCCAGTACCAAAAAAAAACTAGTGTTGTCCTCATTTCACAGGTGAGAAAACTGAGAAACAGAGAGCAGACTTGCCATCCATGTGGGCCTCATGTAGACACATAGAGAAATAGAATTTTAAGTCTTCAGTAGGAAACCTGAAAGTCACTCGTGGTCTTACGTGACTTGGGTTGGAAGTTGTCTGAGTTCTACCTAAGCTCCCAACTTCCCTTGCCTCTAGAAATGTTAAAAATGGGATCTTAGGGGCCAGGGATTTAGCTCAGTGGTTACGGCGCCTGCCTCACAAGCACAAGGTGGGGAGTTTGATCCCCAGTACCAAAAAAAAAAAAAAAAAAAATGGATCTCAGTCCATAGGTTATGGAATGTGACTATGGCAGTGGATTGTCCAAAGAAGAGGCCTTTTCCTCTGAAGCAGGAAATAACACACGGTTCCTTCTGGACCTTCACTAGGAGGGCAAGAGAGGTCCAGAACCGGCCCTGTGGTGGATAAATAACCAAGGAGACGAGGTGAAGTGGAGCTTCAGTGAGATAAAAGACCTAAGCTGCCGCGTGGCCAACATCCTCACCCAGACTTGCAGCCTGCAGCAGGGGGACCATCTGGCCTTGATTCTGCCTCGAGTGCCTGAGTGGTGGCTGGTGGCCTTGGGCTGCATTCGAACAGGTCAGTGACTGGGGGCCTTGCTGAACCTCGGGCTGGCTTGGAGTCCGGCCTGGGACCTTAGGTGCTGTACACGCAGTCCTGTACAGCAGCCCGGAGGCTCCAGCCTCGGCTCCCAACCTGGGACCACAGAGCCAGGTTCCTGGAGGGTAACAGGTCTCTTCCCCTCAGCATCTTTCTTCTTCAAGTCTGCCTCTTTCTCACATTGCCTCACAGATACGCCTGCTCTTTTCCTGTCTCCCTCACACTCTTACATTCATATACCGTCAGGTGCTGTGTCAAACATCCCCCCACACACACACACACGCAGAGAACGCTTTGTCTTGCTCAGTCTTATTGTCACTTTTTATAAAAGATTCAATACCTAACATTTTTCCACATTTGCGGGGACTCTCTGTCTCCCTCTGCCTCTAGTTTTCTCTCTCACTACCATTTAAGAATCAGATATGGAAACATTAGCCACGGCAATTAGACAAGAGAAAGAAATAAAAGGAATAAAGATAGGAAATGAAGAAGTCAAATTGTCATTATTTGCAGATGACATG